TGAGATCGTGCCATTGTACTCCAGCCTGGGCAACAGGAGTGAAACTTTGTCTGAAAAAAAAAATATTACTGGTACCAGATACCTAATGCCTCAGTCTTTTTTTTTTTTTTTAATTGTGGTATAATACACATAAAATTTATTATCTTAACAATTTTAAAATGTTAGCTCAGTGGTATTAACTGTATTCACATGGTTTTGCATTCAGTCTCTAGAACTTTTTCATTTTGCAAAACTGAAACTCCACACCAATTAAACAACATTTATTTCCTCTACCTAGCCCCTAGCAACCACAATTCTGCTTTCTGTTTTTATTAATTTGACTATTCTAAATACCTCAGCTCAGTGGAATTAATACATTTGTCCTTTTATGACTGGCCTATTTCAATGAGCATAGCATCCTCAAGGTTTATTCATGTTGTAGTATGTGTCAGGATTTCCTTCCTTCTTAAGGCTGAATAATATTCCATTGTATATATATGCCACCTTTTGTTTATTCATCTGTTGACGGACGCTTGAGTTGCTTCTACTTCCTGGCTGTTGTGAATAATGCCGCTGTGAATATGAGTATATAAATATGTCTTCCAGACACTGTTTTCAGTTATTTTGGGTATATACCTCAAAGCGGAATTCTTGAATCATATGGTAATTCTATTTTTAATTTTTGAGGAACCACCATACTGTCTTGTAGAGACTGCACCATTTTATTTTCCTGCCAGCAGTGCACAAAGCTTCCAGTTTTTCCATGTCCTAGCCCCACACTTGTCATTTTCTGTTGTTTTTTGTTACATAGTAGCTCTCCCAATGGGTGTCAGGTACTCTCTCATTGTGGTTTTGATTTGCATTTTTCTAGTGATTAGAGAGATGTTGAGCATCTTTTCATATGCTTATACCTATTCAAGTCCTTTACCCATTTTGAATCGGGTTGGGTGTTTTTGTTGTAGATGTTGCTGAAAGAGTTCTCTGATATTCTGGATATTAACCCCTTATCAGATATATGATTTGCAAATATTTTCTTCCATTCTGTAGGTTGCTTTTTCACTGTGTGGATTTGTGTCTTTTGATGCACAGAATCAGTCAACTTTTTGAATCCTCCAAGACTCTGTAGGTTTTTAAGTTTTCTGTGAAGAATGAACAGTGACAACTAAATTTGCTTGTTTCTTTTCTTTGGGATTTCAGGGCCTTGATACAAAACATGCTTGAAAAATGTGATCGGTTTCTCTGGTCCCAGCAGGCCTAGTGGGAGAAGATTCAGCAGGATGTCATGACATTTTGAGAAAAACTAAATCATGCTCCTGGACCTTCTGAATGCTTTTGTTATTGAAAGAAAGACGCCACACCCAAATCCTGCCACCTTATTGGGGCTACTTTTGTCAGTATCTGTACCCTTGGCATTGGCATCTGTGACGCTTTATCCGTGATCTCAGCATTCCTTAACCAAAGTTTTACTCCGCATTTCTTAACCAAAGTTGGATTTTGAAAACAGTCAGTCCTTGTTTGCTGGAATTAGAATGTGAACATCCTAGTATTATTCTGAACTACAGTATTAATTGCTTGTTGCTAGTGGATTAGGGAGACTCTTTTCTTACTGTGGCTTCCATGTGGGCAGCAGAAGCTTTTCATCCTGGCCACATGAAGACAGATAATATTATTGACTGGAGTTGAATTTTTTTGTATCTTATCTGGTACAGTCTGGAAATTACTGAAATTCCAAATTACCTTGTATAATGGAATTAACACACCAAATAAGTAGAACACTGAAGATTTGAATTAGATATTTAAGTAAAATGGGACCAGGTGCAGTGGCTGAGGCATTTAATCCCAACTCTTTGGAAGATCAAGATGGAAGGATCATGTGAGGCCTGGAGCTCAAGACAAACCTGAGCAACATAGTGAGAGTTCACCTGTACCAAAAATTTAAAAATTAGCTAGGTATAGTGGTGTGTACCATTAGTCCCAGCTACTCAAGAGGCTGAGTTGGGAGGTACTTGAGGCGAGGAGGTCCAGGCTGCAGTGTGTTTGTGCCACTGCACTCCAGCCTGGGTGACAGAGCCCTTGTCTCAAAAATAAATAAATGTTTTCATATCTAAATTAAGCTAATTTAAAATATTTTTCCCTGTATTTATTTAATATTTTCTAATCTGAACCTATATACAACTGACTAATTGATTCTTAGAAATGTGTTATCTTTAATCTTTCCTAAACAGAGTAGCCCACAAGAGTCATGCATTTTTTAAAATTATTTTTAAGAAGCCATAACAAAGCTGTGTACTAATAAGGACTGCAGCAAGCATTTGTATTATTTAAATTATATAAGTAGATTGTCATTTGTCAGGCTCCTGTACATTAACATAGCATGTTATATTAATAATAAATGTAAAGTATGACTAAAATTTTCATTTGAACAGAATGTAGACAGGAGGTTTATTTGGAGCATTTTGCAGAAAGGTGTGGAGTAAGTAAAGTGTTGGATGCACTGAACAATTCAAATCTTTTCATTTGTAACACAACTAGAGAACATGAACACATCACTGTTATACTTACACATGACACCTAGATATGATCAACCTTATGGGTTAAAGAGATTGTCAGGGAAAGGAGGCTTCACAAAGCTGCCTAGAATTCTGGGAAGTATGGAAAACCTTCCCACTGGGATAATTTGCCTTTTGGCTGTATTGGATTATGTTGAAATGTGAGTCTATACCGAGATAAGGATGAGAGCCCCTGCCCTACGTCAGCACAGTGATGCAAGAAGGCCTATAGGAAATCCCTTGACAAGCAGACAGCACGAACTGGCACAATTGTGCAATCATTTCCTGACAGACTTTCACAAGGCACAGCAATTCTCGTTCGATAAAGGGTACAGAGAGAAATTTCTAGTATAACAAAAATAAATCATGTCCGTTGAATTTATTTTCTAAGGCAAACAAAAATCACCTTCATGACTTTTTGGGCTAGATGAAAAAAAAGTCCCCCTCAGTTAAGCATTTAAACTTACACAGTCTATTTGGGTATTAGGCAGTGTTTCAAAATAGAACTTGTGTCTTTCTTTCACTTGCCTGAAAGTTCTAGGTAGATTGTGATGCATGGTTGCCTCACTTTCGCTTTTGTTTCCAGCTCTGACCACTGTTTTACAAGCATAGTGGCTGAGAGCTTGTGTTCTGAGGCCGACTGCCTAGGTTTGAATATCTGCTCTCTCTTTTGCTTAGTGACCTTGGGAAGTTCCTTTGTTTCTCTAAGTTTTAGTCTTGTCATCTGTAAAATTGGGATGATAGTAACTGATTCAGGGTAGTTCTTGAATTAGGTGAGATAATGAATGGCACAAAGAGTGAGGTGTTAGAGCTACCCATTAGTGAGAATTAAAGGAGATTGAAATGTAGGGCACAGTGCCTGTGACATAGTGTATAGGTAATAATGTTAGCTGTTGTGAGAAGGATTTGGGATGTCATTGTTTCACCTAGTAGTTATCAGACCCATCGATACCGGGTTTACATGAGCTAGAGAGAGTGGGAAGGCGAAAATTGAAATTAATAATTTCCTGGTCTGTGTTAAATTTGTGACTGCCCTGGTCAAGGCTCAAAACCTTGTAGTAGTCATCCTTGCCTCTTCCTCCTCCTCTACCTTCACTTCTAATTACTAGGTACATTCTCTCAATTCTGCTTTACTGGTGTTTTCCATGAGTCATTTTTTTCCCATAATCTCTGGCCACCAGCCCACATTCTCATTACTTCTTGCCTAGACCATTGCAGCAGTCTTAAGTGACCTTCCTCTCTTCACCTCTAACCACTGATATCCCATCACTGCCACCAGTTCATCTCAGCACAATAAATGTAAACAATTTTAGATATCACCCAGTCAAGTGATTCACAAACCTGGCTACACATCAGAATCACGACAGGAGCTTGTTATAAAAATACAATTGCTGGCCGGGTGCAGTGGCTCATGCCTGTAATCACAGCACTTTGGGAGGCTGAGGTGGGCAGATTACCTGAGGTCAGGAGTTAGAGACCAGCCTGGCCAAAATGGTGAAACACCATCTCTACAAAAAATACAAAATTAGCTCGGCGTGGTGACATGCCTGTGATCCCAGCTACTAGGGAGGCTGAGGCAGGAGGATCACTTGAACCCAGGAGGTTGCAGTGAGCTGAGATCGCACCACTGCACTCCAGCCTGGGCGACAACACATAGAGACTGTCAAAAAAAAAAAACATGGGCCGGGCGCGGTGGCTCAAGCCTGTAATCCCAGCACTTTGGGAGGCCGAGGCGGGTGGATCACGAGGTCAAGAGATCGAGACCAACCTGGTCAACATGGTGAAACCCCGTCTCTACTAAAAATACAAAAAATTAGCTGGGCATGGTGGCGCGTGCCTGTAATCCCAGCTACTCAGGAGGCTGAGGCAGGAGAAT